CTGGCGATTGTTGGGGGGGGCCTAAAAGAAAGAAAAACCCCCCCCCCCCCCCCCCTTCTCCCACCCCCCCTTAATCTCAGCTGGCCTTCAGCATCCTATATGAGAAAGACCACAGCCTGTTTACTGCCTGCAAACCTGGGAAAAGAGCAGAGACGTTCAAGGTCACAGGTAAAAACAACAGACCTGCAGGTCTCCCCTTACCCACTCAAATTCTCGTTCCTGAACTACTCTCTCAGTAATGTTTCAAATCACCTTGCATGTATAATGAAAGTACGATCAGGAACTCACTAAGCAAATGAGCCCCTCCTTTAATTCCATTTGCTTACACTGCTTATTCTTCTCCTGCATAATTATTTTTAAAGGAAAATTTAATTTTGTTTAATGGGAACAAAGTTTAACACTCCATAAGCTTTGTCTTCTGCAGCCTTCCATCTGGTAAGCTTTTTTTCCTTTTTTAATTATTTTTAAACCTGCCCAGTAAATTGTGTGTGTTTAAGAGGCACTTCTCATTAAGATGAAATAATACTCTGATCTCATAGGATCATCTGTTTTTAAAGGGGTAATGATATACTACTTTTTTTTCCCCCAGTTAACCAATCTCAATAGCAAATGTCCCCTTGACCTGCCCAGCACACGCACAAGCGCGTGAGCTGCTGTGAACTGGATGCAGCAATCAGAGCTGATCGGAAGGAAAAAGGGGTCAGGGGAAGAGCTCCGAGAGGGCACAGCAGGGACCATTAAGAAGTAAGTGGCAAATCATCTCAGGAAAGGGAAACATTTAATTTATTTATTTATTTTTAAGTACAGATGGTGTGGAAGGAGGGGGGAAAGGCTGCAAGACGACCAAGAGACATGGGTGTACTATATATAGATGTACAGCTGTTTCCTTCAGGTGTTATAACTCAAAAACGTAGGATGATTAATTTTGAAAGTTGAAATGTATAGCAGATTCTGATTACATCTGAGTGTCTATAATTTAGCTACTTAGTAAAATTAACTTGACGTTTGTAGTGAGCTGTGAGGACAATAATGTGTGAAGAGACTGAAGAACAAGTTTGACTGCATGCTCTTCCCTTACCTCCCCCTTTTTCAATTTGCAAAGTTTATTTTTAACTTTTTCTAATTTTTCTGGCAGCTTTCCTCTAATCCAGACAAATGAGTTTGCCTCCCCCTGCTGTCAGGCAATGACAACGACGTTTTGTTACTGAGCTTTCATTTCCCTTGACGGACTAGAGGTGCAAGTACTCAGCAGCCGTAACTTGACATGGAGCTTCAGGCCAACTCAGGTAAGGGCTGTAGGTTGGGATCTCCAAGGCACATAACATTTTACAACACATGACACCTCCAGGAAGGCTGTAGGACCTCCCCTTAAATTCATTTTCATACTTCAGGGAAGGCCCCCTGCTGTGAACTTGCAAAAAGCAGGTCATACCAGGGACCACAGAAATGGGTACCCTGAAAATCCATGGCTTTGGGGTTTTTTTATTGAAGAAAAACCTCACATGCACAATGGTTGTGTGGGAGTATGGAATATCACAGTCCATCCCACTAACCAGGGCTGAGGACCAGATTATCTGTGACCTGTGTGGTACCTAGCTATTGTACTGGCAACCACCCAGAACTTCGGAGTGCAGCTCTGCCCATTTAATAACAAGCTGCAATTTAGAGGCCAAGTGATTTAGAGCATCTTTGTGGTATTCAGAGTTAGCTGAATGTCATCAAAGTGTTGGGAAACTGAATGAACCAAAGCTTTAGTGGAAGGAGGGGAGCTATTCTGACTTGTCTTAAGCCTTGATGTGTTGTGCAGGTACTACCAGACCAACCACAACGGCCCCTGGCTCTTGGCCAACCCAACGGGTGTAAGAGCTAGCTGTCTCCACAGCCATGTTTCAAGGAGCACAAATTCATTTTTTGTGAAAGTCTATCATACATTGGTTAGTCTCTAGAGTGCAACATCCAAGCACCCAGTATAACCATAAGCCTGTGCTGAGATTTCCCAGACCTGGTGGTAACCTTCTTGGATGACAAGGACAAGTTATCTTGTATAATGGGGACACGATCAACTTGGGGGGGGGGGGG